AAGAAAGAGTGACAATGATAGCATGAGGGTACTACAAGCTAACGAGGGCTTTCAGGGGGTAATCTGGACACAACTAATAGCCAGGCAATGAACCTCATGTAATAAATCTAATTTTAGGTGGTTTTAAATATTTTGTTTTCCAGTATTTATAGCCATACTAGAAATTATTATAGATGTATGGATATTGGCCAGGTGTGGTGGCTCACACCTACAATCCCAGCACTTTGGGATGTGAAGCAGAAGGATTTTTTTTTTTTTTTGAGACAGAGTCTCACTCTGTTGCCCTCAGTAGAGTGCCATAGCATCACAGCTCACAGCTACCTCAAACTCTTGGGCTTAGGTGAGTCTCTTGCCTCAGCCTCCCTAGTAGCTGGGACTATAGGCACCCACCACAACGCCCGGCTATTTTTTTGTTGCAGTTTGGCTGGGGCTGGATTCGAACCTGCCACTCTCAGTATATGGGGCCAGCGCCCTACTCAATGAGCCACAGGCACTGCCCCAGAAGAATTGCTTTGAGACCAGGAGTTCAAGACAAGCCTGAGTAACATAAGAAGACTTCTCTAAAAATAATAGAAAATTAGCTGGACGTTGTGGTGTCAGCTTGCAATCCCCAGTACTCACAAAGCTAAGGCAGGTGGTGGAAGAAGGAAGGGAGGGAATGAGGAAGGAAAGAAGGAAAGGAGGGAGGGAAGAAAGGAAGGGAGGAAAGGAGGAATATTGTGGATTGGGGAAATATCATTTAGCTCCTTGTGTAATCTAGGACATTTTACCCCCAAGAAAACATAACATGCTAGCGAAAATGTCCCATGTATCAACTGTAGAGGAGGCAAAACTACTTCAATCCAGTCTCTGGCTGGATCTGAGAATTAAATTGGGATAAAACAAATTAATAGGAAGAAGTATATGCATTTATACAACATTAACAAGTATTACCTGACCTAGGAACTCTCATAAGGAACTGAATATCCAAAGAAATGGCAAAACTCAAATGTTTTTAGATAGATTGACTAAAGAGAGGTAACTGTGAAAAAGTAACTAAAAAAAGGTAAGAATTATTTTTAACAATGTCTTTGTACAAAATTCTATTGATCTAGTCTTTGTTTCTTTTCTCCTAGAATAGGGAGGACAGCCATCAGATAGGTATTTCATCTCCTATTTTTAGGAAAAAGCAGGATGAAGGAGGCTCACCCCTGTAGTCCTAATACTCTGGGAGGCTGAGTCTTGTGGCTTGCCTGAGCTCAGGAGTTCAAGACCAGCCTGAGCAGAGTGAGACCCCATCTTTAAAAATACTCAGGGGCTGTGGTGGGCACCTGTAGTCCCAGCTACTTGGGAGAATAAGGCAAGAGAATCACTTGAAACCAACAGTCTGAGTTAGCTGTGAGCTATGATGCCATGGCACTCTACCAAGGGTGACAAAGTGAGACTCTGTCTCAAGAAATAAATAAAATAATAAAGGAAAAATAAAATTAACCGACTAGCCATATTCCTTGGATTTAACTTTTCTCCAATCATGGGTGAAATTTCAGTTTTTATACTATATATTGAACTCTATGTTGTTGAACTCAAACCAGATTTTGTTTGTTTTCACTTCTTTTTCAACACATGTAGTTCTTTTTTTTTTTTTAGAGACAGAGTCTCACTTTTGTTGCCCTTCATAGAGTGCTGTGGTATCACAGCTCACAGCAACCTCCAGCTCTTGGGCTTAAGTAATTTTCTTGCCTCAGTCTCCCTAGTAGCTGGGACTACAGGCACCTGCCACAACGCCCAGCTATTTTTTTGTTGCAGTTTGGCCGGGGCTGGGTTTGAACCCATCACCCTTGGTATATGGGGCTGGTGCCCTACTCACTGAGCCATAGCCACCGCCCTTTTTTTTTTAAATCTTCTAACCAAGATTTCACCTGATTCCTGATTTTGAGGTTGATTGTGTGGCACCCTTTGTTGCAAGGGGCCCAGTAGGCTGCTTCCACCTCTGCATCCTCAGGTGTGAACTGGCCACAGAGCCCTCTCAACAATAGTAATGGATCCATGGCTCAGCGCCTAGGGCGCCAGCCACATACACCGGAGCTGGCAGGTCCTAGGCCTGCCAAACAACAATGACAACTACAACCAAAAAACAAAGGTGATGAATCCAATTCTTCATTTTATGGCATCCACTGTTATCCTAAATAACCATTATACCCAGGGTGCTGCTGGATAGGTACTTGCAAGGCACTGTGCCATCAATAAAGTTAGGAGGCTGGATACCCCAAGGCCCATGATGCCAGTCAGGACTCGGTGCATTTCATGCACCTGGGAAAGTAGAAAGTATTGACTAGCAGTAAATTTAGTCTAGAGTAGGAATTTTGGGGGGGAAGGGGAGAACAGAATCTCTCTCAGTTGCCCTGGGGTTGAGTGCCATGGTGTCATAGCTCACAGCTCAAACTCTTGGGCTCAAGTGATTCTCTTGCCTCAGCCTCAAGAGTAGCTGGGACTACAGGTGCCCGCCACAACGCCTGGCTATTTTTTTAGAGAGGGAGTCTTGCTCTTACTCAGGTTGATCTTGAACTCCTAAGGTCAAGCAATCTGCCAGCCTCAGCCTCCTAGTAGGGTAGGAATATTTTGAAGACAACCATTTCTGAAAACAGGTGAATGTTTTGTAATCTTGTAACCTATCAGGGGGAATCTAATGCATGGTGATTGGTGACACTCCTAATGTTAGTTCTTGATGTAAAAGTATAAAACTGACAAAAGGAAATAGGTGACTGGGTGCAGTGGCTTATCCCTGTAATCCCAGCACTCTGGGAGGCGGAGGCAGGTGGATAGCTTGAGGTCACAAGTTTGAAACCAGTCTGAGCAAAAAGCAAGACCCTGTCTCTGCTAAAAATAGAAAAACTGAGGCAAGAGGAGGCTTGAGCCTAAGAGTTTGAGGTTGCTGTGAGCTATTACTCCACAGCACTCAACCTAGGATGACAATGAGACTCTGTCTCCAAAAAAAAAAGAAAAGAGAAAAAGAAATAGAGGAGAAGAGCAGTTCTTTGAGGAGATAATCCCTGCAGCTCTCCAGTATTGCTGGCTTTTCTTTATAATAAATGAAATTGTTGATGTGTCATCCATTTCTCCATTGACTGGCTTGACTGACAGGCTGACCTACTCATTGGTCTGGCAGCATATTTATTTATTCAATCACTTAGTAAGTTATTACTGAGTGCCAAGGCTACACTATGACTTTCTTTTTTTTTCTTTTCTTTTTTTTTTTTT